TCGAGGAGCAGTTTCGGATTGAAACTTTTTATGCTGGACTTATACAAGAAGACAAGATTCTCATAGACTCTCTTTGTCAAGGGAAATTGATGAATATGACTCCACCCCAAGGGAGCACGGGAAGAGAGCGGTGGTAGAGGAGTGAGTGAGAAGTGTGGGAGCAAGTGCTCAAGGGATACGATTGGGGATTGACGAGAAGTGGGAAGAGAAGCAATGATAGAGGAGTGAGAAGTGTGGGAGCAAGCGCTCCACTTGAGGCGAAGCTTGACAAGTTGATCGAGGTAATTCTCGAGGATAAGAAGCACGAGAAGAGAGCGGTAGTGTCATGCGATTGGTGTTCGAGCATGAACCATGAGTTGGCGGATTGTCAAGCAATGAAGGAAGCAAGCACTCCGAAGGAACAAGTCAACTTCGTTGCTAATGCTAGGGGAACAACCCGTATAGGAATACCTATAACCCCGGGTGGAGAAATCATCAAAACTTTGCTTGGTCATCCCCGACAAATCCGCAACCCCCCGGTTTCTAAGGCCCTACAGGAAATTACCAACCTCGACCAACCTTCATTCAACAAAAGCTGCAATTTCAAGGCTAGAACTTCCGACAACCTTACCAAGTGCAAGGTGGACAAGGTTTTCAACAACAACAACAACCCGACGAGCTATCCAAACTTGAAGACCTTGTAAATACCTTTGTGAGCATGAGTGGTCAGAAGTTCGAGAAGATTGAGAAATTTATGAATGTGGCAACTACCAAGTTTACCTTGGTTGAGGCGGGACTCCGAAGCTATCAAGCAAGCCTTCAATATTTGGAGGTGCAAATTGGCAATCTTGTCGGGATCCTCACCGAGATACCAAAGGGAGCCCTACCCTCTCAAACCATTGACAACCTCAAAGATCAAGGCGGGTGCAATGCAATTTACTTGAGGAGCGGGAAGGTGACTCCGGGAGTTGTTGCTAAGAAAGTGATTGAGAAGGAAGACTCCAACCCCAAGGATGGAGATGAAGAACCTTCGAAGGGATAGAAAGAAGTGGCAAGGAAGGCATCACCAATGCCATCTCCGGTGGCCGAGTACAAGCCACCTCTTCCTTTCCCACAAGGGTGTACAAGGAGAGGTTGGAAGCGGAATGTGGGGCTTCATGGAGATGCCCCGAAATCTCCACCTCAACATCCCCTTCCTCGAAGCTATGGGTCACATGCCAAGGTACGCAAAGTACCTCAAAGGATTCCTCAACAAGAAACCAAAGTTTGAAGACATCGCCCATATGACTCTAGGCGAGGAGTGCTCGGCCTTCATCCTCAACCGGTTGCCCAAGAAGTGACCCGATCCAGGTAGCTTCACTATCTCTCTTAGCATTGGTAACCATCACATAGAAAATTCCTTGGTGGATTTAGGAGCAAGTGTGATTGTGATGCCTTATAAGCTATTCAAAAGGCTAGACCTAGGTAAACTCAAGACCACTAAGCTTAGTGTCACATTAGCCGACCGCTCGGTTATTGATCCTAGGGGCATTGTGGAGGACATGCTAGTACGAGTGGGTAAATTTGCTATTCAATGGATTTTGTGATCCATGATATAAGTGAGGACTCAGATATGCCAGTCATACTAGGACGTCCCTTGATTCTGAGGGATGGTGGGGAGCCCTACCCTCTCAAACTTTCGTCAATCCCAAATATCAAAATGTCGGTTGCAGTGTTATTCTGTTGAGGTGTAGGAAGGTGACCCCGAAAGTTATTGCTAAGGAAGTGATAAAAAAAGAGAAGACTCCTCCAACAACCAATGATCAAGAAGGCTCGGAAAGGGAGGAAGAAGAGACCAAGAAGGCATTGTTGACGCCACCATAAGTGCCTAAGTACAAGCCTCCTCTTCCTTTCCCCACAAGGATGCACAAGGACCGATTGGCGGCGGAAAGTGGCGGGCTCATGGAGATTCTCAAGAAGCTCCGCATCACAATTCCGTTCATGGAAGCAATGGCGAACATGCCAAGGTATGCCAAGTACCTCAAGGGGCTTCTCACCAAGAAGCCAAGATATGAAGACCTCGCTAATGTCCCATTGGGCGAGGAGGCTCCGCTTTCATTCTCAACAAGTTTCCCAAGAAGCAACAAGATCCAGGTAGTTTCACTATACCTCTATGCATCAGAACACATCACATAGAAAACTCCTTGGCGGACTTAGGAGCAAGCATTAATGTGATGCCTTACATTCTTTTTAGGAAGTTGCATCTAGGTGAGCTAAAGACTACTAGCTTAGTGTCACATTGGCCGATCGCTCTATCATTCGTCCTAGAGGTATTGTGGAGGATGTCCTAGTGAGAGTTGGAAAATTCTACTAACCGATGGAATTTGTTATCTTGGATATCAATGAAGATGCGGATATGGCACTCATTCTAGGATGCCCCTTCCTTGCCACCGCCAAGGCCTTAATCAATGTTAATGAGGGAACTCTTATTTTGAGAGATGAAGAAGATCAACTTACTCTCTTAATTGAACCTAAGGCTAAGAATGATGATGTACCAGAAAGGCTTTCTGGACCTTAAGCCCAAAGTTTTTCATAAATGCTGATGTATGTTATTCTATTACGTAATTTTTTTAATCTTTTGTTTTACCATTTATCAAAATTTGTAATTGGTTTGATTTGGTGGTTTATTAGGTTATTATAGCAATGGCCTGCCACTTAACATCATATGAATTGTGGAAGAATCCTGATAGTGGAAAAGGATTATGTTTTTTTGCCTTCAGAAATACAGGTAGGCTATAATTTTTGTTGCATTCTTATTTGTAGCTTCTAGGTACTAACCGTTAGTATAGTTGATGTCTAAAAGAAAGGATTCGATGCCAAAAAACAATGAATATTATTCCGCGCGAAAGGGCAAGCTGTAAACAAATTTTGTTTCACAAATATCTCGTAATCAACTAAGGCATCGCACCAGAAAAGGATTTAGATTGTTATGACACCAAATTCTTGTCTAGACTTAATATGTGCAACAAGGTAATGTGTTCAACCAGATTTGGTGTCTAATAAGTGTCTATTGCGATATTAAATTTATTTCTATCTATTGAATATTTGTTTATGTGTAGGTTTGTATTCCTTTGCATGATGAGATGCATGATGAGAAAGTTCACTGGTGTTTAGCTATAATTATTATGGACAAGAAAGAAGTACATATTTTGGATTCATATCCATCTCAAGAGCGCAAAATAACCTGTCGGCAAGCAGTTTATCTATGGTACACTTCTCAAATTGTGTGGTCCGAACGCAACATCATATATCATAACTAAATTTGTGTATGCTTGTATCTAAGTACAAATACTTCCTAACTTGTGCAGATGGCATTTTTGGATGACTTGTTTAAGGCTCAATATCGTCAAGTCTATCAAACATTGGAGAAACCAAGTATTAAAGAGTTTTCCCTCAAAACTCCTTCAATTGATCAAGAACAAGCACACGAGTAAGAATACGTCCTTATGCCTAATTTTTATTGCTCGCTTATAAATCAGTTTCACATGTAAGGCATTTAATTTTATGTAGATCTGGTAGCGGCGTTTAGGTCTACTTGTGGATGATGCGTGCAACTTGGGATTCCTATTTATTTGGGTAAGAAAAAATTCTAGTTCTATATAGCAATTACAACATTTTCAAAAATTGGTCTCTTTCGTATTGTTTTTGTATGGATGATATTGTTGTTGACACAACCATGCTGTGAAATGAGGGGATGCAAATTGAGATCCAATGAATCATATAAGGCATAAGATGTTGAAGGAAGCAAACAAAATTGCATATAAACTTGCAGTTCATACTCGCGAGTACAAGCAAGCCTATGAAAAATTGTGATACGAGGACTAGAAGACCATGGAAGGAGATCCTGATTTCTATATTAATATTTTGTTTTATCTTCATACTTTCAATTGGGTTTTGGAACGTCTAAATACATTGAATATTTTTTTTGGTCGAAATTACTTGGAATAAAGTATGCCTTTTTATTCGGTTAAAAGTTATGGAGTTATTAATTTCTTACTATTTGAGATTTATATTCCCGGATAAGAAAGGATTTTGGCTCGCCAAGACCGAACCTTCATTGTAATCTTGTCGAGCAGAATATAGCACTCCCTTGCTGATACTAGATCATGAGCCGACAAGTATTGAGGCAAAACAGGTTGACAGTAAGGGAGTAAATCTTCATATAGTCTATAGTAATGATTTTCTCTAGATTTTGTTTTTCCACATGTTCCCTTGAGATTTCTTTTATTCTCTTCCCATTTGTTATGGTTTTCGATTACCAATGTAGTTTAATGAGCTCCAATTTTGCTGGTTTGATTTTGCAAATCACACGCAAGAGGGCACTGAAATAGCCTTTCACCCATTAAAGTTGACGACCTTACATTGAAGCCCATAGACGGAGGCCCAAAGGAACATATTGATAGTTACCAAGGTTGTCAACCCGCGAGTTGACCCACGGGTCGACCCAATTTGACCCTGACTCAGTGAGAAAAATGAGCCGCACGCACCCGCCGGGCCGACCGCTATTAGATATCGGGTTGGAGGTCAAATTGTGTCATTTTTTCTTTAGTTTGTGAAATGCGCCTATTTTCCAATTTTTCTTTTCGCCTAACTCAATCTTTGGAATACTAAGTTGAACATTTGAATATTTATGTTATATAAGTGTGTGTGAATTTTCACTATATGTTGGACCTAAGTACGATATGTTATTTTGGTGTAATATTATATGTTATAACTCATATGTTAGATAAGTTTTGATATAATTTATGAGGATAAGTGCAATATAATGACTCTTTCTATATTTCCGTGCCAAACCGGGTTAAAACGGTTGACCGATTAACCCTTGACCCACTAGCTCGACCGGGTCTGGGTCAACCCGCGGGTTGACAACTTTGATAGTTACAAAAAAAGCTGGGCAATCATTCTTATATGCGACAACTTATATTTGCATTACTTGGACTTGGCCCACCGGGTTGACAACTTTGATAGTTACAAAAAAAGCTGGGCAATCATTCTTATATGCGACAACTTATATTTGCATTACTTGGACTTGGCCCACCTTCAATGATTATTTCTTCTGCTTCATTTCGTTGGCCCAAGTGGAAGTCTGCATATGGGTTCGATTGTTATTATGACAGAAAGGAGAGGTTTTTTTTTGTCGGAGAGTTACTTAGCGCATAAGGTTGCTATCGTACACAGTCTTAAACACAAGACTTGCTATAATGTCTTGAAATCAAGGATGGTGTATGAAAGCAACGCTATTGGCTGTCTCCAACAAACATATGATTGCGACTTCAATATCTATTGGTTGGCCGTTTTAGAAAAAAAATTAAACAGGGAGAGTATTTCGATTTGACCCTACAATCCGGTCGTTTTTGGAGAAGCTATAGGTAGTTTCAAAAATATCTTAGTCATGAACAACATCGGTAGAACTTGACCACGAATAGGACACTTACAATGAGAATTTGGTGACCAAAAATTAGTACAATATGTAAATGTCTATCTAGTTGATAAAAATATACAAATGACGTACTAGTTTCACAACAATCAACACTTCGTCCCTGATATCAATTCATTCCAGGTAGCAAATTTTGGAGTTCCAAACACGCGTTTGGTGTGGATTTTAGGACAATGCCAAAATTTGGCACCAGACAGAAGGTTCCAAACCTAACGATTTGAACAAATTTTCTAACCGAATTGAACACTCAATAGCAACTGCCGAGAGTAATAACCCTTTTACACCATTTGTATATTTTACCTCCATTAGACCTCAACATATTATGTATCTCATCCGAAGAACTCATAACAGTGAAAGGTATATTACATGGATCAAATTGCAGAATCTTGTCCACAACAAAGATTCATAATGAAACTAAATAGCTAGCCACAATAAGATGAACGAGATTGTATGGTACTATGGAAATAATCACCCTGATTAGTACTAGGCAGTACCTTTGGAGGAATTATCGCCTCAACAGTTTGGGAATCACAGAAAGTGAAGCGGTTTGCGGGATCTCGTAACAAAAAACAAACACACGATTAGTGAAGGCAGAAAAATTGTTGACCAAAGTTGAATGACAAGGGATTGGAGGAAAGGATTTTACCTTCACCAAAGGAGGGCATTTCAGTGGATGATAATGATGTTGTATGTATAGATGTGTCACGTGTAAATTAGAAAAACAATCAAATGGCCAAGGAGTTTTCCATCTACACATTGGAAACTCAAAAACTTGATTGCATATTGGGAAACTCCTTAGCCATTTGAAGTTCTCCTCATTACTGTAATGAGATAAGGATGGAGATAGAAATGGATGGCATTTCAAACTGCTATGCTTTTGTAGTAAGAGTGGAGTGTGGGTTATATGGGCTGTAAATAGGAGAGAGCCTAGGAAAAGAGGGCATTTCAGTGGATAAGATGAGAAACGGATGGTAAGATTTTAGAATGGATTGGCCAATGGGTATGGGTGGTGGAAATGGATAGGGTTACTTGTGGGATTATAGGTGTCAAAACATAGCCCGACCCGATTAACCCGCCTGATCAACCCGACCGCAACCCGAATTGACTAAAAGTCAACAACTCGTAACCCAACTAACCCACAACCCGACTGACCCGCAATCCGATTAACCCGAACCCGACTGACACGTAACCCGATTAAAAAATATGAAACTCACTTGATATTATGTATTTTAGGAAAATTACAAAAATTGAAACATGAAGGTCACTTGAACACTAAGTTCATTAACAAAATTATAAAGGTAATAATAAAATATGAAATCAACATAATGTCAATATTAATAATGAAGAATTAATAATTGAGATCATGGACAATATTAATATAATATATAAATTAAAATTTTGATTTATTTAAATATTCAATAAAATTATCAATAAAATTTAAATAAAGTAAAATAATGTATTTGGTAATTTGATATTTTTAAAAGGAGAGGGAAATTTGGGTGTATTCAACTTTTTGGGAAGAGAAAGAAGAGAGAAATTTGGTTTTTTGAATTTTTTAGAAAAGAAACAAGTGGGAATTTTGGTGGTTTTGATTTGTGGGAAGAGAAAGAAGTGAGAAAGTTTGGTTCTTTTGATTATGAAAGAGAAATAAGGAGAAACATTTTGAGTTTTCAAGTTTTTGTGGAAGGAAGGAAGAGGGAAATTTGGTTCTTTCAATTTTATGTAAGAGAAAGAGGAGAGAAAATTGAGTGTTTCTAATTTATAGAAGGAGAAAGGTGGGAAATTTAGTTTTTTCTTGTGAAAAGAAAGGAGGAAACAAATTTTGTGTTTTCAATTTTTTGGGGTTTCAAAATTTTAGCATTTAAAATATGAATCTTTAATTTATATATGAAGGGCATGACTAGTTAAATTTATTCTTATATGCTTTGATGGCTAATATATATGTATGTAATTGTTTATGGGCTAATAAATACATTAACCATTAGTTACAACAATTATACTAAACTTGAGAAGTAATCTTTAATGGTTCGTTCTTTAGGATATAAAGTATAAAGTATATGGTTAGGGTATAGGGTATAAGGTACAGATGATTTAGAGTGTATATGGTTAGGGTATAAGATGTTGATGGTTGACGATTCTAAGTTTTTTATTAACATAAGTTCACTTGAAGTCATTTGAAGCCTTTAACGGCAGGAGATCCTTTTTTAAGTTATGTTTATGGTAAGTGGTTAGGGTACAAGGTATGTAGTGTAGAGTATAGGATATATGGCTAGGGTATAGCAATTAGCAAATATCACTTTTTATCTATGTTTTGAAAATCAAAGTATGAATTTCACTTTTAAATAACTTGTTTTGACACCTATTTGGTAATTCGAACAATTTTACAAATAACTCGTTTGACAACTGTTTACTGAAGTTATTTAGGCAATGAGTTATTTCGAAATAACTCCGTTTATCACTCTGCTTTTGCCAAATACCACACGCCAGATACCATATTTGCATGGTTATACTAAACGAGATACTTTAATCCAATTAATACTAAAATAATAATATCAAATAAACAATTAATGGTGTCTTTTGGTTGCAAATATTGATATCACCATTACTATTAGCTAGTGTACTTTACCAATTATGATTAATTACATATAGGGCTGCAAATGTGCCAAGCCGCTCACGAGCGGCTCGGTGCTCGGCTCGAGAGAAATTCGTTCGATACTCGACTCATTGCTTAATGAGTTGACTCGTTCGCTCGCTCGTTTACTAATGAGCCGAGCCTGAGCCAAGTCATGTTAAAGTCATTAAGCTCGCGAGCTATCTCGACTCGTTGACTCGTTGAGCCTAACTCACGAGTTAACTCGATTAAACCTTGCAAGCCAACTCGATAATGTGACTCACAAGCAACTCTAGCCTTAATACTCTATATTTATTTGCTTACACTCGGAAATGGCTTTTATGGATTGTACTGGATCAATAGCATACTAATGGAAATCCAGCAACCCCATTTCCACTACACCAAGTTTCATTCTCTGGTATTAATTACAGTGTTTAATTGTTCCACTTGAATCTTGATTTTATAACGGTCTTCATTCTAATTTTGATACTAGATATTCAGCAGCATATTTCACCAGCCGTGGCTTGGTAGGGGTGGGCAACGGGACGGGACGGGTGTTTTAAATGGGTACCCAGTCCCATTTGGAGGCCAAAATCCTTCCCATATCCCAAACCCATATGGGAAACGGGTACCCATTACCCGTACGGGACGGATAACGGGTACCCATACTACCCATAAATACCCAAAGTTTAAACCACTCAAATTTTAACAAAAGTTTAAACTTAACTTAATAACTTGTACTTGCTTAACAATCACAAGACACAAATCATGAATAATCACAACGCATAGAAATAAATCAGTCTAAGCACCAAATCATCAAATAAGAAGTTTCATTCAACACACCCAAAATATAAAATAAGAAGTTTCTGCTTCTGCAAGTTGCTGCTACTATTCCTTCTACAAGCTGCTGTGCTACTCGTCCTTCTACAAACTACTGGAGTGCTGGAACTGGTCGCCTTCTGCTGACTGTTGCGGTTCTCCCTTTTGCTGCAGGCTGTTGGAATCATTAATAACAGAGGAAGGGACAATAATTAATAACAGAGGAAGGGACAATGCCGACCAAATGTTGCGGTTCTCCCTTTTGCTATGATACCATCCACAGTGAACATATCACAATTTATTTATAAGGACTGAAATATTGACCACAACAATACAAAAGCAACAAAGTCCAAAACAATTGAACCCTCCTTATCAATTACAACAAGCCCAAAAGAAGGTAAAACGTAAACAAAAAAGCAAGCAAGCAAACGGAATTTAACCATAGCCTCCAGTGTAAACAACATTACTCCATGGAGGTGAAAGTGAAAGCCGAAAGGGAATAGGCAGGGTAAGGGTCGACTAAGGGTAATGGCCGAAATGGCCAAGGCCCAATGCCACATTTATGAATTAGTGAATTGGGTTGGGGCGCTGGGCTGTGGGCTATTTCTGGTAAATGGGTATAACGGGTACCCACATTACCCAAACGGGTATTTGCAGGTAACCCGCTGGTACCCATATTAGGAATGTTCAATCCCAAGTCCCATCCGTTTATAATATTACGAATAATATGGGTACCCGTACCCTTAAAAAACGGGACGGGTACGGGTATACCCAAATACCCGTTTCCCGTTGCCCACCCCTACGGCTTGGTGGGAAAAGATGTCAAGGTGTACCTCCGGGTGTAAAACCTCAAACCTGTAACCGATGTAAAGGAACTGGCACGGTTAGCATTGTAGATGCAGTAGACTCTACTGAGACCAACTGTTTATGCCAGGTGTTTCTAACTAGGTATTACACTCTACATTTAGTACAAACAAATCCAGACATACCACTTCCAATTGAGGGGTTTTGATTAAGCGATGCCACCTTTGCTATGAGGAAGAAGAGGAGCAGTACATCATGTCACCTTGGTCGGGATCCGAGCTGCCCTCTGCTGGAGTTTCTTTATCACTACGAAAATATATGCTGCCTTCTGCGGACTGTGATGATGCTGAAGATAGAGGGTTTGGTTTTATCTCTATTTCTTGTTATACCACATCAACAAATGAAGAGAAAACCCATACTTCATTCACCTATATAATTGTGGTTGGCATCTGTCATGAAATCTAAATCCTTAACTGGTCTGGCTAGTGGCTACACTCTATTTGAGTAATCCTACAGTTTGGCCTTCTTAGGATCCGATACTGGCTGCTCTTTCGTAGCCTTTATCAAATTATGGGTTGTCAAAGCCCATAACAATAGGTTGTTTGACGAGCCTTTCTGTTCGAATGGGCTCGTTGAGCTTAGTATTCAAGCCATTGTTGAGTTCCATTCGAGTCGGGCTCGAGCTGGGTAATGTTGAAGTCGAGCCGAGCTCGAGCTTGGACGTTGCTAGCTTGTGTCGAATTCGAGCCAAGCTTGAGTTTGGGATTTTAGTTTCGAGTTCGACTCATTTGTAGCCCTAATTACATAACAAGTTTGCAAGTGCAGCCCTAGCTACATAACAAGTTTGCAAGTGCAGCCCTAACTACATAACAAGTTTGCAAGTCATACAAATTGATTTAACATTTTGACTAGTTCTTTTCAAAAAAATTAAGTATATATATATACGAGATAGAAATAAATTGGTTAAAAAGTTGAGAAAAATATTTTAAATCAGTGTAATAAAATGTGTAATTTGGTAACGAGTAATGAGTAAGTTACTCGATACCCTGGCCCAAACAACCCGAAACCCGATCCGCCCGACCCAAAACCTGATGAACCCGCAACCCGCTTGAACCTGAATCCGAACTCGATGAACTCACAACTCGACTAACCCGCAACTTGTTTGAACCTAGTCCGAACCCGCCCGATATATAAGTGTGATACACCATTGGATGAGCATTTGTGCATCTCTTCTTAAGGCTTTTCTAGTAGTTTGCTTTTGCTATGTTCAAGAGAGGTCAGAGCAGCTGATGGACATATCATCGGAAGGGACAAAAGGGTAAAGAAAATGTTATGAACGGAACAACAACAAGAACGAGGTTACCGAATCTGGAGATGAGTCGCGGACTAGGTCGCTCTCTTTAAGACGTTCGCGACACTGCCCTCGATGCGCACGGAAGACTATCAACCGGTCGTCTTTAGGATAAAACAGCTCCTCTATGTACTCGCGGTTTTGTGCGAAAATCGGAGCTCTCTGAATACTCTCTCTATTGTGTTTATGCTCGTTGTGGTGTGTTTAGAGGGGCTGGGGAGGCGGCTATTTATAGGAGCCGAA